AACTAGTGGCTGCCATAGTTTGCATTGTAAGAATGCTTACAGACAGCAGCAGAAAATGTAGAATGTGGTTTTATGCCAATTTGTTTTGTTAGAGTGAGGTACCTTAGAAAATAAGATCTCCAAGGGGAAAGTTCCCAGAGGCATATATGGGAGGCCCACAGGGACAGGTATCAAAGTTGGTGGATTAAGCAACTCTTAAAAACATACAATTCCATCCTATTCTTATCTCCACCCCAGCTCTCCAATCATCAATGCCCTAGAAGCTTGTAGGTGAGATTTCCAAAATAATGGTCCTAAGTGTCTTGTACCCCTGACTATTGTTGGTCCTGGAAATGTCTACTTCAGCAGTGCAAATACCACTGATTTTATGTCATTACTTTTTTTAAAAAAACATCTCCTCTATCATAGGTGATTAAATAACTGGTAATTGGCTTATTCAAGTTAAATTATATATGAAGGCATTTAAGTAATGATGACTTGAAAAACTATGCTCTTGAATATGGTCAAACAAGTTGCTGTGTTCACTTATAACTGTTAGTATCCATTTATTTGACTGATGTTTAATTTATCAAATTTATTTTAATAAAAGTGTTCTTTACAGGTCCTGAGAAGTATTTCTTATTTTGGCTGGAGATCACAACATACAAAAGCTGCCCCACAGTGTCAGCCAGGATTAGGATTTAATTTTGGTATGTGTTATGTTCTGTCTTTTTACTTTAAACTTATATTTGTTGTACATATGAAGTTCTCTATATGTATTTGTTTGGAATATGTTTGTAAACAAACTTAATAATATCTGTCAATGATTAGAACCAGTCACCATCCACAGATGGTTAGTCATGCCCATTTTCCTGATCTTGTTTTCTTCTTCAGCATACTACCCTATACATTAGATCTTTGTTAGCAGCATACATACATTTATTTTCCTTCCCTTTTTCCTAAGTGTGTAGCCCAAAATAAATGATAAATTTACTGATATGTACGAATAGTCTTCAACTTAAAAAATTTAATGCAACAAATACTATTTAAAACACTTAATAGATACACAATGCTAGGTGCCTGCTAATAAGCTAAAGCTTGGTTTATCCATAATATATCTGAACTGCAATTTTGGTACTGTTAGATGAAGTTCTCAGTCCTGGGACCAGGGAGCCATGTGGTGGTGGAGGGAAAAGGAGTAAGATTTTCTTCCCCATTATTCTATAAAATGAAAACTCCAGGGGAAAAGGAATAGAAATAATAATCTCTATCTTTGGTATTCTTGCCTCCTAAAGTGCTTCTTGCTTCAAAGTTTTTACCTGTCCTCTAGTTAAAAACCTGTTTACTCAGTTCACCTGATCTGAGAAAGATTTAAAGATTTAAAAAGCAGCTGAGATAATTAACTCACACCCAAGTACAAATGACAATCCCAGAACTCTAGAGTTATCATTTTTGGTTTTTGTTTTATTTTTTAAGTTTTGTTTTGTTTTGTTTTTGTTTTTACCAGAATTAAATGAAAAATTCCAAGCAGTGTGAAGATAGCAGTTTGGGACAGTGGATCGTCTTACTTACTCAGATATTAGCATTGATTTGGTATCTAGTTTTAGCTTGTAACAGGCAAATTCATACTCAGTGGTAAGAGACTAGCAGGAAAAATTGTGATTTGTTGAGTGACAGAGGACCAGATTAGATATAAGTGTTTGAGAAGGAGATTGTGAAGCTCAAAGGAATAGGGACTAGATTACATCTATGACCAGTTGCAATCTGGTTCTTTATAAAATGGGGATAATATCTATAATACAGGATTTCTTTGAAGATGAAATTATATGCTGTATGTAATGTCCCCAGCACATACTGACTAGATCAAAGTAGTTTCTCAATAAATAATAACATAATAGATCCCTGTCTTTCCTTATCCACCCACAACATTTATACGGACTGGCCCCAATCTTAGAAGTAAAGTTGTGATGTAAAAAACACTGGACTGAAACTCTAAGTATACTTCTACTGCTAATTCATTATAAGACTACGGGGCTGTCATTTCCCCATATAAGTGATTATTATAGTCTTACACATTCTTGCTCATTCTTATCTCTGTGCTTTTGCTCTCATTCTTCTTGCCTGAAATAGCCTATACCTTTTTTAAATTTTACCTATTTTTTTTTTTTTTAAGATGGGGATCACACTGTGTCACCCAGGCTGGAGTGTAATGGTGCAGTCATAGCTCACTGCAGCCTCAAAATCTAGGCTCAAGCAGTCCTTCCACCTTAGCCTTCCTAGTAGCTGGGATTACAGACATGAGCCACTGTGCCCAGCCCATACTCTCTGATGTTTGATGCAACCACATTAAAATACTAGAGTAGCACGGATTTGAGAAAATACAATTAGTGATCCGCTCTTGTCTTCAGCAAGCGACCATATTCATTTCACTAATTTTGTAACAACCACCCCTTATTTTATGTAAATGAATTGTTTGGACAGCAATTAATAGCATTACAGCAGGGTTTTTTATGTTATTATCTTTTAAGAAACCACTTTTACCGGTTGCTTTGTGCTAATTTATAAACTGGTCTGAGTTTAAAGGAAGAACAAATTTAAAATTATGACCATGATATATGACACTTTGAAAAAAGTTTTATTGCTTTATGGTCACTGAGTGTGTCTCATCTCCTTAGATAGATTCTTGAGTTTAGGGATATGTCTTATATATTAGTTTCACCTCAGTGTTAGTAAATATTTGATAAATCAGCTTAAGAACTAGTAATAAGTTTAAAAAAATATTTTTTACCTCACCAATTGAAAGAAAAACTCAAGCTGTACAAGTTTATATCTATAACTCATTTGTAAAAGCTAGAAATATTAATCCTTCAGCATTTCTATTGACGTAGATTGATTTATATTGTATAGTAAAACTTGAATAGTCAGAAAATGCATTGTAGTCTTTGACTTTCTGGGTGATCAAGAGTTAAAGTCCCCATTATTAATATAAATTTCCACATATTACTGCATAGCACTTTTTTCTTCAACTGATTGTCCTATTTTAATATTTTCTAAATAACTTTCCCTTAGAGTTCACTGAACAGCAGAAAGAATTTCAAGCTACTGCTCGTAAATTTGCCAGAGAGGAAATAATACCGGTTGCTGCAGAATATGATAAAACTGGTGAAGTAGGTATATATATTTTAAAGAGAGAAAAGACTTCTACTTCTTTAAAAAAGATTATGTAATCAAACTATCTAGATTTTAAATATAACTGGGTTTTTCCTTTTTCTTTTAGTACCCTGTCCCCCTAATTAAAAGAGCTTGGGAACTTGGTTTAATAAATGTACACATTCCACAGAGTTGTGGTAAGCTTTCTTCACATTTTTAATCCTAGAATGCACATGAACAAGAAAAATTGTAAAACTCCACTTGGTCATTTTTTCAAATATTTGCTGCCATTAAAATGGCTTTTTACTTTTATCTCCCTGGTCAGGCTACAGAATTTGCCTGTTTTTAGAAGCCTTATACTCTACACTTAAAGACATTTTTCCTTCTAACTGTTCCAACCTTAACTTGATTTTAAACCTCGATAACTTCTCTCTCTAGAGTTGGTCAATTTGTTGTATTTTAATCCTACCTTCTATTTTATATTTTATTGAGAGTTTTTGTGAAATGTCACTCATTTCCTCAGGTCCAGTTTTGGCAGAGTTGAATCGAGTTTTTACAAAATCAAGTTGGAACAGGAACATAGGCTCAAATAACAAATAGAGAATTTTTTGTAATTTTTATAAACCTATTTTAGGCAGGTATAATTTGCTACTGTGCCAGTCACAACACTTACAGGCTATTTTTGCAAATTTGCTTTTAAAACAAATTGGGTCATATTGGAAATAATCGAAATAGTTTACCTTTATTTCTATCAAGATGTACTACATATTATAATGTGCTCTTAAAACATTTTGATACTGTAGGGGGTCTTGGACTTGGAACTTTTGATGCTTGTTTAATTGCTGAAGAATTGGCTTATGGATGTACTGGGATTCAGACTGCTATGGAAGCAAATTCTTTGGGGGTAAGTTACTTAGAAAATAAATTGCTTAACTGAGCTGTTAATGATTCAGTTACTGCTAGGTTAGCTTAGCTGATGAAATAGTTTTCTTTAGAAAGGAGCACACAATTTAGCAGCGAAGCCTGGAGTTCTGATTCCAAGGCTTAGTCACTGTGGCCCTGTTGTCCTGTTGTCTCCAGTACTTGG